ATGCCATACAGAAACCATATTTAGTAGAGTGCATAAATAGTTTAGTACATGGTACAGCAGAAACGATATCATAAACATCTTCATAGTAAAGAAAAGAGAATAGATAGCGGCTAAAAGGTCGGATGAAACAATGAAGGGCGTAGTACTGTAGTTCTATTCTCAATCTCTTTTATGTCTAGAACTTACACGTAATAGCTCAAAGATCCAATCGCTTATTCGCTACTACGGTATAAAATGCTGCATTATACTGTAGTTAGGATATCTCTCATCTACTTTCCTGTCGAAAATAGCGTCATAATCACTGTATAAACATTCTTGGCTACAGTTTGTACGCCACTTTTTATTTAGAAACAAACTTGCCTAGCCTTTAATAACAACCCCGTAAAATCATGACCTACTGTATTCATCGCGTGATGGTGGTTTAAAAGTATAAATTGAGCTAATCAAGGCTTTTTATCCGCGTATGTCTACGTTCCATGTATACGGAGGTCCATTCATATTTTAGTGACCGATCCATTTTGCAAATTTTGAATGTCAGCAATTCGAGGAAAAAAGACTGGTTACACTACAAATCGGAAGAGTTTTCCTTATCGGTAAGTTCAACTTTAAGTATTAGAATTGTAAGTGCATAGCTAGTAGTTCACGATATCTTATTTCTAAAGCACTCTAGTATGAGATCATGAAATTGTAAACAATTTCAACAATTTCATGTTCCGGAAGAAAAGTGCTCATAAATGCTTTAACCTTTGCGATATTTTGATATTCTTTTTAATGTTTTCCGTAAAAATAAATGCCCAAACTGCTTATAAAGAAAATATGAAAGGGCAGTAAAAAAATCATCAATACAACCTTATTCATCAAAAAATAGAGGACATAAGCGATAAATGATATCGCGCACGGCGGTAATTGAAAAATTGGAATTGATTTTATTTATCACTTACAGGCAATTAATGTAGTACAAAAGTATTCCAATGTCACTTTTATAGTAATCAGTCTGTTTTTCAAATAGTAAAACAGAACAAGCTTGACTCAGATCTGTTTTGTTTACTTGGGCTGCCGTAATTCCAAAGTCCAGTTTGAAATCCTTGTCATAGCCACATAACTACAAGGGTCATTGTAATTCCAGTTTTCCTTATAGTAGCACAATAGGCTAGCGAATACATTATACATTTACGATACACTTTAAGGACGATACAGATCGATTTCTTTCTTCGAGTTAAATTAATCAACGCAATTATTATAGTAACTAAGTGCAGTAACGTCTACGAGTCTTTTTCTCTAATTTCTATAGCGAAACAATCCGTTCATGAAGTCCATTTTCATGTCATTGTTCACTGCATAATAA